CAACAATAAAAAAACTAGCAGACAAAAATTGTGAATTAAGGCAAATGTTACAGTTTTGCACTCACTCTCAGTTTTGCATTTTAAAGTTATCTTTTACTTAGTCAGAAGTCAGATGACTTTTTTTCTGTATTTTAATTTATTCAGGAGGTGATCACCAGTAAATAATGTGGTTAATCAAGAAACATAAATGTAAATAATAGCTTTACTGCGGAAAGGTGGGACCGCAGGAAAAGTGGCAAAAAATTGTGGAATTTGCTACTTGAAAATGTTAAGACTGAAAAAAAATATAGCCTAAAGTGTTCCCAAGGACAAAGGAAGTCTGTCAAAAAATATTGCGGTACGATATCTTGTGAACTTAGTATCAAGTAGAGCTGCATCCACTATTACACAAGCGCTTAAGGTATTAAAATTAAATGCAAATCAGTAGACAGCGAGGCGCAAAGGCAGCATAAAAGAAGAAAAAACAATTTTGATCAAAGTATATGCGCGAGAATGGTAGAATTTTGCTGCATCGCACGAAAACCGGGCCGTTGCCTATTGGGATATGTTAAGCCTTACAGAATGCAATAAAAAACACTGATTCATAACATGTATCTAGCTGATTTTTTCCACGATAATAGTTAATTAGACACGCTTTACCCTGATTAATTCAATTTTTCAAATAATCATTATATTGTATAAAAATTTTACAATATTTTTTGTACTAAATAATCTATGCTTATGTTTATAAATAAATGTTATTTTTTTGCGTTCTTCGGTTGCACCATGCTCGCTGCGAGTCCGCGCGGCGCGCGGCATGAAGGCAAAAGCACCCGTGGCAGGAGCGAAAAAAGTTAATAACTAGCGACTCCGTGCAAGTTTCCGTGTTTTTCTTTCTTTTAAATAATGTATTATAGAATAAGGATTGATATTCAATGTAAACGTTTATAAAATCTGATCGAGAAGTAATAAATATTTCCATTTGTTTATAAAAATTAAAAAAAAAATATAAAAATTTTATTTAATATAATGATTATTTGAAAAATTGAAACAATCGGGCTAAAGCGTGTCTAATTAACTATTATCGTGGAAAAAATCAGCAAGATACATGCTATGAATCAGTCGATAATAAATGATTACTGAATTCATAAAAAAAAGTTAATAACAATAACTCTTGGAAAAATTCGAATTTTGCAAAATTGTTCAAATTATATTTTTTTTTTGTGGTTGTAAACCGAATAAAGTGATTTGTTCGAAAAAATCTTGACCATCCAATTTTGGGTGGCCCACTTGAGATATTTTCACTCACAGTGAATGGTCAATAATAGTTTGGGGTTATATTTCAAAAATTTTCTTGGTCCGTTTGTACGCATTATGCGTAAGGAACAGTATCTGTTCATATTTCAACCAAATTTGCAAGATGTGGCCGAAAAAATGAGAGTTTCTGCTGAAAAATTACCCAAAACACACTGCACATGTTCGCAAAAACTGGATACAAAAGCAAAAATTTGCTAATTTGAAATGACCTGCACAATCCGCGTACATGAATCTTATCGAGAATTTGCGAAATCAACTAAAAGCGTAGCTTACTAAGTATCCAAGTCCGTCCAATGGAGTACATGAGCGGTGAAAGCAAACCAAGGATACATGGGAGGCTATACCTCCAGAATTTTTACAGAGATACACATTAGGTATGCCAAATCGCATCCAGGAACTAAAAAAAGCAAAAGGATGCTAAACATTGTGTTAATAATTCTTTGTTTCGTGAAAATTGTCAAAAAGTTATTAAAAATATATGAGTGCAAAACTGTAACATTGGCCTTAATTTACATTTTTGTCTGCTGGTTTTGTTATTGTTGTTGGATTGACTTCAAATCGTTATGAGATGGGGAGTAGGGGTGTACCAATTAGAATATACAACAAAAATATGGATGTTGTTAGAACTTGGAAAGATAGCTGCGGCTGAAATAAAAAGTGTTACACCATGTTACAGTTTTGCTCGTCACTGTATGTATGCAATTTAAATAATAAATATAGTTACATACATGATACAAAAAAGAAGGTAGTTCCATTTAATGACATTCGTTGTTGTTGTTAAACATTTGACTTTTAATAAAATTATGACATTTCATCAAATTCATGCTACCTGATCACTAGAAGAAATATTTTTTTGTTTTAAGCAGAAGATTTTATCAGTACATTCAAAGATGTGGAATATGATGGACTTGAAAATTATGCCGGCTACATAATTTCGAAAATGGGGTTCATGACTACGAATGCATGAAGGAAGTGCTCAAAATTATACCTCCATATCATCGTTTAAAGTACGAAACCGCGTATCGTCGTTCTGCAAAACCGCGTAACTGACATTTTTTGCCAAAAATTGGATTTGCTCACACAACCTCATGGATCAAGCCTTATCCATTCGTCCTGAAATATACTAACCAGAAATGTGATTGCTTTATAAAAAAGAGAACCATTTTGAAATATGAGTGTTTTTACTCTCTAGAAAATAATTTATGCAACCACACATAGACAGTTTTGCATTTTGATGATACGCGGTTTTGTACTTTATACGACGATATGTTAATTGTTTATCGGAGGGCGGTCTGTTCAAGCCGACTTCAAGTTTTTTGTATACATTAGAAACTTTAAAATTTCAAAATTTATGAAATCTAATTTTTTGCAAAATCTGATGAGAAATTTAAAAGTAAATTTGAATTTAAATATAAAAAGGTTTTATTTGGGAAGAACATTCTTTAGAATTAGATTTTAAGATCGCAAGATTGCATTCAAAATAAGAAAACGAAAAAATAACAGCTTAATGCGCGCGTGGTTTTTATTATAAAATGAAAAGAACAATTACGATGACCTCTTCTTTAATAGTCTATATTTTATATATTTAAAAAAAAAATAGTGCGAGCTACGTAAGTAAAAAAAAATTACCAAGTACTGATGATGGTTTTTGATTTGAAATATTATTACATTGGTATAAATATTGGAAGGAAAATACTCCGATTTATTGTTTTAATATTACCAAAGTGGCAAGGCCGATGATAATACTCACAATTTATGAAACTTCAACAAATTTTATTATCTGTCAAAAGTTGTTTATTGAAACTACCTTCTTTTTTGTATCATGGTTACATATCATAATAATAAGGTGCTGTCACGTAGGGGGTGGTTGTTGTAATTTTGGCAATTTCGGCATATCAGCGTTACAGTAATGCCTACTCTATTTATTCCAATTTCATTTCTGGGCAAAATGGAACAAATAATGGAGCAGACAATTTTGTGAAAAAAGACTTTTTCTTTGTTTCGCTTTTGCTTTGACCTTTCGTTTCAAATTCATTGGAAAATTTGAGCGATTATTTCCAATAATTGTGATTTTGTAAGTAAATTTTTGGTAAAATATATACTATACTATAATCTATCTATCTATATATATAAATGTGAATGTCTGTTTGTTTATTACCTTATAACTTCTGAACCGCGGCACGGAATCGCACGATACTTTGCACACTTATTTGCTTTTACCCCGGGAAGGTTATAGACATAGAGAAACTGGAAAAGAGGGCGTGGCACCTCCTATACTAACTAAAATTTTCATGTTGTATATCTCTTGAAATATTTGTGGTAGAGCATTGGAACTTGCTGTCGAGATAAATAAAATTAATTCCATATTCATGCGAAAAATGGGCGGTATTGGAAAAGGGGGCGTGGCACCTCCCATAGCCGTGAATTATTTAATCAGCTCTTACATCGGAACCGCAAGTCACATGAACTTGAAATTTGGTATGCAAACATATCTATGGTAGGTGCTTATAGTAAGGTATATATAAATGAGTTTGTTTAGGGGCGTATCACTTAACATAGGCTTGGAATTTTTTATCAGCCGTAACTTCGGAACCACAAGTCACATGACCCCTTTAATTCCTTCTGGCGTGGGGTGAAACCCGCGGGTAAAAGCTAGTTATTTTATAATATAACTGATAGAATTCAGAATAGTAATTTTAAAATGTTAACAAAAATAAAGGTCGTAAAAAAATTCCCTTTAAAGTTAAGATATTTAAAAACTAAGTACGCATATACATGTACTTCAGAATTTAAGGAAAAAATACAAATAAAATTCCATACGGACTAATATATAATTTTTATTAGAATTTAAGAATAATTAAATAAAGAGAACGGTATAATTTAATTTGTTTTAATATGAATAAATGAAAGACGGAAAATAGTCCTTATTTTTTAAGTTTTAACCGTCATCATATGTGTGTGGTACGACCGTGCGGCCTTTTAAGTTTTACAAATAATAATTTTAAGGTAGAAAAATTAAACTGAATAATAATTATTAAAATCAATATATTTGATCGAAAAAATAAAAACTAAGTAATAATAATTTCTTTTGAGCGAAAAAATGAAACTGTAATTACACTGGTTTACAGAAAAAATATTTTATTGATGCAAGCTTCATTTAACTGGTGTTGGGTTCCACTGATATATGTATGTATTGGAAATAGTACCCAAAAAGTAGTAAAAATAATCCTAATATTTTCCCCTTTTTCTACTACCCCAAAATGCATGGCCGCAATTGGCATGCAGAAAAAGTGAGGTTATGTAAGTGACATCACCTTATATTTATTTCACCATGGTTACATATTATGTATGTATATAATTTTTTGTCGAATAATCTTCTGTCATCTGCAGATCTAACTTCGGATAACGTTTTTGAAGACTTTTTTTTTTGGAAGTGGCGAGAAAATGTTTTGTTCCCGTTCAACCCGCAAATTTTTAAAGACCTTCGCGATACCGCCCATCCTAACTATTTTTAAATTAGTGCATGGGTACCGTTATCCCGCGCGTCTCTAGTGACTACTAATAAATCAAATTATTGATATTTTTAATATAAACCAAAGAGGAAACTCAAACTCTCGCACTTGAATTGAATATTCTCCAACTCTATCTGTAAATGGTAGTGAGCTCTCGTTTAATAAATGAATTGTTTGCCCTTCTCTTTTCAGAGCCCAGTTATTACACATGCTGTACGTGCAAGACTCGTTACACCTCTGCTTGGCGTTTAATTCAACATGTGCAGCATTCACATGGCGTTAAAATATATGTGGAATTCCCCACGTCTTCATCCCCACATTCCACCAGTTCGGTTTCGGATCCTACGTCATCTACTTCACCGCTAATAATGCATCCACACTCGGCATCAATGCCTGTGGTTGTATCAGCACCGACAATAACCTCAGCGGTATCAACGACACAGTCTTTGCCGTCTTCAGCTTCCACATCATATCTTTATCCGCCCATCAGTCATCAATCACAAAAATCTGATAACTCGAGTACAAACTGCAGCATTAGTAGCAAGAGTAGCGGAAGCGGCAACGCCTCCACCAGCCTACCGGCACCAACTTGTAGTGGTCACTCAAATGCTGTCCAACAACAGCAACAACAAATCCAACAACAACTTCAACAACATCGAGTAGCTGTTGCTGCTGCAGCGGCAGTTGAGCAGCATAAGCAACAACAACAAAGCAATCTAACAACAGCAATGCAGAATGCACAGAACCTAGCGGTGGCTGCAGCAGCGGGAATGCGCCATCATAGTCTATTGCCTCCTCCAGACATGCACGCGAATCCGTTCAATCTGCTGAGAATGCCCCTACCACCGTCACTGGCACAAAATCCTGTAGTTCCTACGGTCACACCCCTGTTTTCACGGCCCCATCCCGATCACTATAGAATGGACCAACTGGTAACGGAGCAATTTCGGCATCATGGCCTTAACTTAGCGGCAGCAGCAGTTGCAGCCGCCAACTCCCTTACCTCGCCGCACTCCGGTCCTTCACAATTCAGTCAAGGGAATGGCGCTCCTTCCAGCAACTCGATGGAGCCCAGACCACCCTCGAACAATAACAGCCACCGGGGCTCCGCGCCAGCCACACCTCTGCCACCGCAACCAATAATCATCCCACAACAAAATAACCCGAATCAAGGTGGGCCTCAAGCAGGTATGAATCTTGAACCACAGATGGATTTTTACTCGCAGCGATTGCGTCAGCTTGCCGGAACAACAAGTCCTGGGGCTGGAAATATTGTTAACTCGAGCTCGCCGAGTCCACGACAAAAGCAATCGCCACACTTCGCGAGTCCATCACCATCCCAGCTACCTCCTACTCCAGTAACAAATAATACACGGCCACATTCATTAACTCCACCACATAAGGGCGACTCTTCGAATCAAGAGAACGAAAATATCAACTCAACGCCACGGTCAGCATCCACACCGCCCTCGAAGCCGATTCAAGATAATTCTGCGGTATTCGCCTGCGCTTATTGCGAGAAGAAATTCCGATTTGAAAATAATTTGATTATTCATCAAAGAACACATACCGGAGAAAAGCCGTACAAATGCACAGCTTGTGAATTCGAATGCTCGCATATCAATAAACTGATGAAGCACATGAGGGTTCATCGCAGTCCGGAAGATGTCGCAAGTAATGCAGGCTCTGTGGATTCCAACGATGCTGAAGACTCTGAAGCTGATGCCGATGCTGACGCAGAAGCAGAGGGTGAGGCGGAGGTCGATGGAGAGGAGGATAACTTGGACGAAGACGGTATGGAAGAAGATGAGGAAGATGAAGGTGAAGACGGGGAAGACATCGATTATGAAGCCGAAGATCTAAGTGTCAGCAATCGAATAGATGGAAAAAGCGAAAGCCCTAAGACCACAAGTACCGGCCCTACATCGTTGGTAGGTGAACTGATGGATAAGTTCGGTCTATCGAACATAGCTCAATACTCTGAAGCTTACAAACAAGCATTACAAGAATCTGGAAAATTCAAATACTTAGCAAATAAGGATCGAGACAATAATAACACCAGCAATTCGGGAATATCGCAGATGTCAGATAAATTGAATGGTTTCCCAGCAGCATTACGCCTGAGGGACGAGCTTTCGAAGAACATGTTTCAGCAGTCATCCCAACCTGATGCACCAAGTCAAGTGCCGCTCTTTAATCCGTTTCAAAATCCTTTCGAATTGTCCAAACGTGTAAAGATGGACAACAGCGACTGGTGGAATATGTCGGCATTGCATCGGAATGACTCGATTTTCGAAAATCTTAAAATGAAGCCTTTGGGACTGGGCTCTGCCAACTCCATGCTGCACAACCCAATGCTGAAAAAGGATAATCGCCAACGCAATGACACGTGCGAGTTCTGCGGAAAAGTATTTAAAAACTGCTCTAACCTGACCGTGCACCGCCGCAGCCATACCGGCGAAAAACCATACAAGTGCGAATTGTGTTCCTATGCCTGTGCGCAAAGCTCCAAACTGACCCGCCACATGAAAACCCACGGACGCACTGGCAAAGACGTCTATCGGTGCCGCTTCTGTGATATGCCCTTCAGTGTACCGTCGACTTTGGAAAAGCACATGCGCAAGTGTGTCGTCAATCAGGGCAAGGCAGCGGCAGCAGCTGCAAATGCAGCCAACGCTGTTGCAGCCGCACAAGCTGCAGCTGCAGCCCAACACCTGCAATCACAGCTGCCCACGCAATTATCACCTGCAAGCTCGATCTCATCGTTCCCACCTCAATTTGTTGGCATGGCCGGCAGCAACACTGGCAACAATATCTCACTGCCCGGCAGCATAGGCGGAGATAACGAAAGCAGTCTACCCACAAGCTTGCCATCTCACCCCATCTCGTTGAAGGAGGAGGCATGACTTTTTCCCCATTGGATTGGTATCGCCAGCAGTGGCACGGATAGCGGCATGAGCTACAGTCCACATCATCAGCATTTACAAACGGCGCGATTGTTGCCACCGCAGCATCAGCATCTTCCATTCGATCCCCGCCTTCACCATCAGAACCACAGCTCGCATCCCCTGCCTCAAAGCTCTCAGCCCCATCAATTATCGACAGCAAATCGTATAATGTCCCGCATTTTTTAATATGATTTAACCACTGTTATCAGCACATACACACGCACCCACAAAGGCATGGATATGTAGTACATAGTACTCAAAATAATGAACCAGAAATTATTATGAAGTTTTTGTGAATAAAGGCCCGACCCGATGTATACACACACACACATACATGCATGTATATTTGTATATACATATGTATGCGCATACATATGTACATACCATGGTGAATATGTATTGCTCTACTACGCTCTAAATTTCGCCCCATCTGTTTTCGAACCCAGAAAAGGGTTTTCAACTAGAAATCCTTGCGTGCTGTCGAAGGTACCTTTAATTATCTTCAATAGAGTTTTTCTTTTCTGACCACCACATAGTTTTTTATACAGAGATACAACCAGAGGCATTCGATACCAAAGCAATAATCTAAAAATATAAATTAAGTATACACTAAGTCTCTCACATGTATTCAAATCTGCATACACACATATATTCATATGAAAATTGCGAATGTACATATGTATGTAAATATGTATGCATGAAAATTATACTTAGTATTTTAGTATTTTATTTTAATTTGAGGCCTTACTTGCCTTATCTGACTTACATACTTACATACATAAATAAATATAATTTAATTAATGTGTGAACTCCTCTGAAATCTTTGCACTTTCGTTTTCCCCAGTGTATATTTATTTTCATGCCCAGTGATTGTTGTATGTACACGATTCTTATGTATGTACATAATTGTAATTAAAGCAAAGAAAGTATTAGTAATAAAACGATGACATTTCTTTTGAATTGGTTTTTAGAACAATCTGCCCGTTCGATAATATTCATGTAACTCATTGAAGTTGCATAGGTTTACACAAATATGTACTTGTTAATATTTTATTGTGAATTATTAGAAAATATTTGTATATGAATAAAAAAATGTTAGCACTAAACACAACAATATGTTCGACTTTGGGTTTTGGGTAATCATCCATAATACAACGCAATTAAAAGACAAGGATCTTTAAGTATATTCAAGACTGAAATAATTGCGTGAATATCATTGTTTAAAAACTCTTAAGATTTTAGAACTGGTTATATGTGAAGTATGCATTAGTTGTTATTTGTATTTCTACTCAAGCCCGTTGTAACTCAGAAAAATTTTACTTTTTAAATATTTCTTGAAGAGAATTTTGTTTTTACAACTATTTAGTTAGTATTACAATGAAAACTTCGTTTAGATAAAAAAAAAATCAAGCCAAACCTTGCGGACTAAAGGACTAAATCTTGAGAAAACTTTGTTTACGGCTTTAAAAAAGTTTTGAATATGTAAGGAGATGAATTTAAATCAGTGATAGTCAACCAGCTCAATTACCAATGAGCCCACGTTGCCCATCACTGTTCTAAATGCATCCGAGTATTTTAAAAGAATAGTTATCACTTTGTGAAAGTGTCTTAAAGTAATCACTTTTATTTTTGATTGTACGTGTATGTAAGTAATCAGCTAGAGGCACTCAATTTTAAAACTGATTTCTTTAATACAAAACTGGTTTCTTGCTTTATAATTTCACACATTGCCTTGTTTATGAAAATGATATTGAATTGAGTCCAATAAAACTAAATTATTATTTTGCCTATACGGAGGTTTGTCGATAATAAATCGAACTTGCTCCAAAAGTAAGCATGCATTCTCACATACATACATATAAATATTATGGCAATTCGCTATTTTGTATATTCGTTGTTTCTTATGTAAATGTAACTTAATAAGCGTGTGATTTGTTGTTTCTAGTAGTACAATAAGTACACTTGCAACAACAATCACTCGTTCGTCCAATTACACAAGATACAAAGAATACACAAAAGAAGGAGTACGCATATTGTATTAGAAATTCTTCGTGTATTTAGTATAAAATGTATCCTATGAATGAATGCAAGTGTGAGTGCTTATATGTAAGTATGTAAAATGATTAATGAAATGTATGCGCAAAAAGTACTTATGCGTATGTAAATATGTATGTACATATGTATGTATGCGCGGCAGTTTTAACTGAGTACGATTTTTACTTAACTGAATAATGAGTTGGTTTCGTTATCCTTATTTTGAAGTAAACAATGCAACTAGTTCAGTACATACATACATACATACATATGTACATATTTACGAATACATATGCACATAATAACGACTAAGAGTAGAACTCCACACAAGCTTTTCAGGCAGAGTTCTACTCTAAAAATGAATATTAGCAAACAAGTTGAACTACAACAAATAATTGTATACAGATGTACGTTTATACATACATATATACAAATAATATGTACATATAATATTTCCAATATTTTATAAATGTGTGCAAACATAGTTGTAGAATTATGTAGCTACATACATTGTACACCCATATATGAAATAAGTAAGTGAAAATAAAACTAAAATTGGTAAGATAATTAAAAATCGGATTTTATTTGGGTTATGAACATATATATAGCGCACCAAAGGGAAGGGTTTTCGGGCTCCAACCCCCTTTTAAACTTGTTTAAATGTACACAGTGCAAAGCAAAAATAAAAACTTTTGGCGCTATAGTCAAATCTACATATCGAGGGCTTATTTATATTCAATACCCTCTATCTGCAACTTTCACAGAAACTACTTTCTGATGTGAGAACCCATCTGGAACGTACCTGTCATCACTGATCTTAATTCTGACTTTGCAATGTAATAGTCAGGGAACGGATTTTTAGGACCTAAAAACCTCTAAAAAAGGCAATATAAAATAGCGAAGTAGGCTAGAAACGGCAAAATAAAATAGCGAAATAGGCAAAAGAAGGCACTAAAAAAAAGACAAAAACCGAAAAGTCACGATTGAGAGAAATAGAGGTTGCGTCCATCACGGTACCGCTATTCCTCTCTCAGTGAATTTGACAGAATCGTTCTTTGTATGACGTCACACTTGTGCAACTTGTTTACGTTTTCCTTGCAACATTTTTTCTCCCATTCTTGCTCACGTTTTGGCATTTCTCTCTCGCAATTGCACCAGTGTGACGTCACACAAAAGTTATTCTCAAAAATCCTCTCTGATGTGCGTAATCTTGTATTCTATCATTCTTGCCGAAAAGTAACACTGGACCACAAATTTTAGTTTGGTTTTTGTTCTCCAGACGCTACTATCCAATTTCTATGTAGAATTGCACGGTGATTCCGAAAATCGAGTTAATTTTTTTCTATGGATACGTTTTCGAGATATTTTCAATTTGCCGTTATTCAGCTCAAAACAAAAGGTGGTTCCACTTAATCACGTATATCTTTCGAACCAATTTAACAAAGAAGATACGTCAAATCAAAGCTAATGAAATTCTCCATAAACCATATATACATCACTTTCCGATAGGACTGATAGTTTCTGACAAATTAATTAATCATTCCAGTTTTATTATTTTTTAATGAAAAAATGAGAAAAATCAAACTTTAACAGAAGAAAAATTTAAAAAACAACACGTTCTGTGCCAAATTTTTGCATCTGTGCTAAAGCCTGTTCTGTTTCAATCAAAAATCAAGTTGCTACTGAAGAAAATCGATGGATAATTAAGAAATAATGAGTGGTCAAATGAAATCGCGCAAAGATTTTTTGTATGAAATATGAGCAGAAAAACGTGTTACTCAGGTGTACGTGGTGTATGAGTAACTTTCTTTCCTGCTCATTTTTCATACAAAAAATTGCGTATATTCTTTTGACCACTCATTATTTCTTATTTATTCATAGATTTTCTTCATTAGTAATTTGATTTTTTTTGTTTTGTTATATAGCAGGCTTTAGCACAAATGCAAAAATTTGGCACAGAACCCGTTATTTTTTAATTTTTCTTCTGTTCAAGTTTGATTTTTTTTATTTTTTCATAAAAAAATAATTGATTATTTAATTTGTCAGAAACTATAAGTCCTATCGGAAAGTGATGTATACACTTAGGGTTGCCAGATTTTGTAAGGGCAAAATCAGTACGTTAAACTTTTTCATGCTAAAAAATCAGTACTTTTCAGTACATTTTTATTCAAAGCAAAATTATCAAAAGTATCCGATAATAATTTAAAACGTCAGAGTACTTGTTTTTAACAATATTTTGATACATAAATGAAATATAGTTCATAAAATATAAAGAGTGTTATTCATTTTAACATGGGTGTACACATCACTGTACACAGAAAACACTAAATTATTTTATATTTATGACACATGAATAGCAATAATGAGATCATTTCCATCTTCGGTCTTTAAATAGGCAAAGAATTCGATACATTAATTTTAAAATTATTTTTAATATGAGTTTTTAATTAGAAGCCGGTTTCTCTCTTTGCGAAGCAAACTTTATACATAAGATCCTCTCAGTTGCTTCGTTTGAGTGTGGTATTAAAAAAAAAAAACAAAATTACATATTTTTCAAACTGTGGAAAAGTACCACTATTTAAAGACTTCATCTATAATTCCTCATGGCTTAAATTAATTTTTTCAACTACGCAAAAACTTTGAAGGACTAAGAACTCGCTAAAAAGAGTATCTAACCATAATGTCAATAAATTGTAAAAAAAGAATTGTAAATTATAGCAAAAGCCATTCGAATATTCAACTTTGTTGTTATTAAACTGAAACTTTTTGACGTAGAATACGTCTTACCTTAAGGTATGGGGGCTATGTTCAAATGTTGTAGTTGTAATTTTTAGAGCTTCACAAAAACGCTTATTGCACGAGAACTAATAAAGCGATTTCAAAGAAAAGTGTGGCGTTTCAAAGATAAAATTCCAAACCTGTCGACAGATTCATTTTTTTAAATAACCAATTCGGTTTCTGTCGTAAAAACAACGGTAAACATTGCCTTATTTTGGGGTCAATTTTGAGCCTTTAAAGTGCTCTAGCAACTTATTGTTGGCATATATAACTTTCATTTTCGGAATATAGGTTCTTTGGAGCAGTAGAACTATTATCGGGTACAAATTTTATATAAATTTAACAAATATTGAGCATTTTAAGGCAAAAATTGGTTGAAAAAATTTGCAAATTTTTTTCATTACCAAAATGCTCGAAAACCGCTCGAATGATTTTGTTTTTGTTTTCTTTAATCAAAAATTCAAGAGTTTTCCTTTCGTTTGGTATATGGGAAGTATTGGTTGATATCTTCTATATATGTTTATTTTATTCAAATATATGGGCATAAATGATTTTCCATACAAAATCACCTCGTCATCATTTTGCAAACACGTGCATATGTTGGAAGTGTGGGAAGGAGACAAAAAGTATGTATGCGTATGTAATGCGGCTTTTGATCGCAGCGTATGTACATATGTAAATGCATATATACGTACATATGAAAGTTTCAGTTAATGTGGATCTGTTTGGTTTTGTTATCGATATTTTTATCGATTTTGTTATCGATTTTGCTATCGATTTTGTTATCGATATTTTTATAGATTTTGTTGCCGATATTTTAATCGATTTTGCCATCGATATTTTTATCGGTTTTGTTACCGATATTTTCACCGATTTTGTTATCGAAATTTGTATCGATGTTGTTATTGATTTTGCTATCGATATTTTCGGAACTTATCGATATAATGATCGATATTTTTATAGATTTTGTTATCGATTTTGTAATCGATTCTGTTATTGATTTTATTATTGATTATTTATCGGTTTTGTTATCGATATTTTTCTTGATTGTTTTAACAATTTTGCTATCGATATTGTTATCGCTTTTGTTATCGATATTTTTGTCGCTTTTGTCATCAAT